CGAGGAGGTTCCGGTCATTCCTTCCTTGTGATTCATGGCGCGAGGAATCAAAACTCAGCTTTACTTTCTAATTACATCTAATTGCAAGGTAGCAAAAGCATAAGAACGGTGAGCACTCTGTCCTTAAAAAATATTAGGAATTTTCAGGAGGATTAATTGTTTTTCCTCTGCCCTCCAATCTTTTTCCGAGCATGAGCAGACAAACCCCCAACTCGTCTGCCGCAGCATACGGCGAATGCTCTTTATTTCCCGCTATCCAGTGTTGCCTGGAGCTCTAAATATTTAGGTCACTCCGGTACAGGCTGAACCATTTCAAGAAGTTCACCCAACTCTTCTGTGCCTCCTTTGTACATTTTCTTTGTTGCTGTTTGCATCTCTCCCGCTCGCCTTACTCCGCCAGTTACTCATCTGTTGAACGAACGACTGGCCGAGCCCGTGGAGCTGCACTCACCAGCTCCGTGTACTTCTCGAACAGCGCTTGCAATCTCTCCTCCGGAGTGGCGAGCTTGTTCAAACTTTGCATTAGCTGTGTGGCCTCCTTTCCTGCATAGGAGGAGAGGAGTCACGCAGAGTTACCACTCAACCGGGGGGAAAGAAATACAGCAAGAACAGCGAAGAGTGCTCTGTAAGCGAGCTTTGAAATAAATCAACTTCAGAATCAGGATTCTCAGCGGGAGAAGGTTTAAGACCCGGGAACTCTGATGTGGAAAAGTAAACTAACTGGAAAAACACAGAACCATAATCCACAGATTTTTCTGCAGCGAGTGTTGAGATGTTTTAAGAATTATTCAGCTCAAAGAGGATTCCGTGTTCAATATGTAGACGTTCTTAGAGCCAGCCATGCTTGTGGTGATCATACGTGTTCATACGACTGGAATGAGCTGAGTCCCAAATATGGGTACAGCTTTGATGTCCTGACCTGCTGTTAATTTTTTAATTCTAAAGAAACTGCACCCGTTTTTGCAATTTTAGCGTTCCACAGCTGCTGAATCGATACAATTCTAAAATAGGTATCCTTTCATGGTGCTTTGATAAAGGTGACTTCTTAAGAGATCACTAGAGCGCACAAGAAAGACTAATAAAGATTAAAATCTTACACTTCAAGGACACACTTCACAAATAGAAAACAGATGTATATACAGTATGTAGGCTTGCTGATAATCACACATTTGTATGCTGAGTTTCAAAATAAGGAAACGTTCTAATTTGCATCAGATTACTGCTGCTCCCTCATACAGGTGTCTGTTTAAAAAGGTCAAGATGACTAACTAATTTTTCCCCATTTGAAGATTAGCGCTGAGTGATATTTGTTTGCATTGATGATTAATAGACTAGATATTCTGCTGAATTTTTAAAAATGTTGTATAATTAATGCCATTGCTCATACGTTAACGTGCCATAATAAATCACAGCTGTTGACTTCATCGAAATTGTATTATGCAAAATCAAAAGGCATAGAAAGGTAACATTATGCACAAACATTGGGGCAATTACTCACGTATCTACTTACAATGGACAAAAGCAAAATGCCTGCTTCCTCACATCATTATCATGAAATGTAATATGAGTACAGCTTGCACCCAGAGCCCATGGGCAATTTTGACAAATGTCCTGTCGATTGATTAGCTTTGAATTGTAACTTGAGCTCCAAGATCCCCTAGGCTTTCTTCATATACAGACCCCCCCCCCCTCACCCTGCAACAACAGATTAGTTACAGCTGAGTAGACTGGAATAAACACATCTCCGCCTAGTCGGAATGCAGATATGGAAAAATGGATGCATGGTCACCATCTCAATGACAAACACGCTATCAAAGAGCCAGTTATCTGATGCCTGGGTGACCGAGGACTGAAAAGGTAACATATTCTGACAGGAATGTGTTTACTAACAAGTGGTAAATGGGGATCAGGTAGGGGAGTGATTAAAGCCCTGAACTCAAACACCAAATGACAGAACTTGCTGTAATCACCCTCAGCTGAGTACTTACCCTGCATTAGTCCATTAGAGGACCCAGCTCCAGGGCTGTAGGAATATTTAATCTGCCTTCATCCCCCCCAAAAAAATAGACCTTTGCATTTAAAATATTAAGCTGTATTCCCAATATCAAACTCTCTCTTTCACCATTGCTGGGCTCCATACATCCATCAATCAATCCATCCATACATCCATTTTTTCCAACCTCTTATACTTAGTGAAATCCATCCATTCATCCATCCATCCATTTTCCAACCCCTTATACTTAATGAAATCCTCTGTTTTCCATCCATCCATCCATCCATTTTCCAACCCCTTATACTTAGTGAAATCCTGTTTTCCATCCATCCATCCATCCATCCATTTTCCAATCCCTTATACTTAGTGAAATCCTGTTTTCCATCCATCCATCCATCCATCCATCCATTTTCCAATCCCTTATACTTAGTGAAATCCTCTGTTTTATTCTCCATTATTACTCAAATAGTTATCTTGAATGAAAGTTACAAATCACTCACATAGATTTGCCAGACAGGTGCTTTCTTCCGGTGTCCTGTCTAAGACGCTGGATCACCTACCTGACTCTTTCAGCACATTCTCCTCTGACGTCGCCTGCTTGTCATCTCCGGCGTCCTGAGCGGAAGCCGCCTCCCCGTCCTTCCTGCAGCCGGGTTCCTCTTCGGCCCTCTCCGCCTGCAGCGGCTCCCGGGTGCCGGCGACCGGCCCGTAGGTGCTGATGATGCTCTCAAGCTGCCGGCTGAATTCTTCCATGGGGTCCGTGGGCGGCCCGTCCGTGCCGTTGACGTGGATTTGGGGGCCTGAGTCGGCAGGGACTTCCGATGACTGCGTGTTGTTCTCCATTATGCTGGATAAGCCTGTTATTCACATCACATTTGAATTAATTTATGCATTCCAATATGCTGTTAATTAATTAAGCAGCTTAGCAGATACATTTTTATAAATCTACTTAAGGAACACATTGTTAATCATGTTACCTACTTTATTTTCTGTACTTCATACTTGTTTTTATACTTTGTGTTAAATACCAATCTCAAGGGTACGACAAAAAGGCTAACCACGAAAAGCATGACCTCTGTGCAGCACCGGAGATATAAGGTACACAGCACAGATTACCGCTATGGTTAAAGATCTCTCCAGAACGGGCTCCTCTGTTTCACCTCTGAACCAGGTGGGAAAGCAGAATTCCTTCAGTGATCTATATATGTGTGTGTGTGTGTGTGTGTGTGTCTGTGTGTGCTTGTAAATATATGTATGTGTGTGTGTGGGTGAACACAAACACACACACATATATATATATATATGTATATATATATACACACACACACACACAGTATATAGCAAGATAGATGTGCAACATACTGTTGCCTGACGCGACATGGCAGTCAACCCACTTTAGTGAAATATATGGTCCTGTAAAATTAGTGTATCACCATTACATCTGTGAAACAGACTGACAAGCTATTGGCAATCTGCAGAGATAAATCAAGTTGTAGGAATCACTGCATGTTTGTTTGGGCTTAATGGGAAATGAGAAGGACACCCCCTGTTCATTTAAGGAGGAAATAAGTAGGAAACATCATAACCCAGGTCTGATAGAGGAAATCAATGAAATGTGAAATTCCTTTTAAAGAAACCAGTAAACTGGAGACTCAGATATTTATTTTATGAAACAAGGTGGGAGTCAATATTTATTGTAAAGCAGACGACCCCTGACTCACTCTGGTGATTAAAGACTCCAGGTAACAAATAGAATAGATTCATTATATCATAAATTCTTTCAAACTAGATTTCCAAAGCAGATTTCTCATCTCAGCTGCCCTGTCTCTCTCTCCCGATCTCTCTCCCACACACACGGACACACAAACACCTGATTCCTCCCCGCTTTGTTTCTTCTCTACGCCCAAGGTCTCCCAGCTTCAAAGGGGCACGAAAACCACAGCCCCTCCACAACCAGACATGAGAAGGACATCTTACACGGTACCCAGCGATCTGCCAAAACGAAAGACCCCTGCCCCCCCCAGCCTCCACCTCCTCCCCCCCACCCAGCCTCCACCCCCGCCCAACGTCCCTGGCTCCGCGTGTGGGGATTCGCGCCCTCATGTGCGGCCGCGTCCACCATTTTGGAGGATGTCGAGCTGGAGCGCCTGAGATCCTCCAGGGCTTGTTTATCCCTCTGCCTGATGATTGCGCCTGCTTATCAGGATAAAATTAGCCCGCTCTCCAGCCCCTCCAAACAGCTTCCAGCACGCGGGCTCATCGCACCTGTTCCTGGGCTCTAGTCTATTTTAAGACCTTCTAAATATGGTCAAGCTATTTCTTATTCCAGCCACGTCTCTCTCGGTGTCAATGACAGTCCTTTTGTATACAAGTGCAACAACATATACGGAAGCCAATGACATCGGCATTAATTCCTACTTATCCACTAGCGTACCTGTAGCTATAATTTGTTTGCTAAATACAAGGCATTCTTGGCTGTCCTGTAATACCGGTAACATACATGATTAAAGCAACATAATAATTAACTAATACTGATAATACTTCAATGCCGTGAACCAGGATAAGTGAATAGAAGATGGCTGGAGGATATTACTAATAGCATTTGATAGAGGAACAGCACAGAGAAACATCCGGCAGATAATGTTCAATACCCACCATGTTCCTCATCAGAAAAAGTGCCTGGAAGATGTACTGATGGATGGAAAGCAGTGGGGGGAAGAAACATAACAAAACAGCAGACGGCACAAACTTGGCAAATCAAAGACGCGTGTGTGCCACTCAGTGGCAGGTCACTACAAAGGACGGAAGGAAAATCTGAAAGCGCGGAAAACAAACGGACCAACAAACAACGGCGTCCTATGTGAATGTAGTTACCGGGAAGAGGAGACGGAACGGAGCTGCTACTCACCAGGACCTGTGGGAGAGAAGAGAGGAGTGAGAAGGGGCCGGGAGCCTGACGACTGAAACAACAACTGTGACAGACAGCCGCCGCCTCAAAATAACCCAATGGATCTACAGTCACAGCACCACAGGCTTAACTCGCGACATATGTGCCACCCTTTTATCTTTGTCTGTGTAAGAGCCCCCTTTCCCTGTCACATCGGCAAAGACTGAAGATAGACACGTGCTACTTACTGCTTGGAAGGTTAGTAGACGGGCCTTGGTTTCCTGCGGTGGCCGTGTCTTCTAGCACACGTCTGTGAAGTGGTCAGGTGACAGGGTTCATCCTAAATCGCTTCTGGAGCTTTCTTCTTTAATCATCTTACTTCTCAAAGAGGGGTGTTATAGAATTCCGTCAGTTTCTGAGCGTGAGCTTTGTTTATAAAGATCAGAAGGACACTACAGGTTCTGAAATTCATTGAAGGTGCACCTGATCTTTATACAGCGTTCTTGGGACATAAACAGCCTTTCCTCCTGACGTCACTCCTGCTTTCGTGGAAACAGCGTTTGTATATTTTAGCTCTCAAGCCGCCCACATAGTGGTAATAGACAAAATGTTTAGAAGACGTTACATTAAACAATGAATTAAACTCTCGTGGGAAGCTACCTCTCTGAGTCAAATTTATTTCTGTCAGCAAGTGTGTTTTTTTTTTTCCTCTGGAAACAAGACTTTGAAAACAATTTACCGTCTGGCACTGAATGTCATTATCTGAACGCTGCACTTCTGACACACGAAGGAAAAGGTGGAGGAAACTGGAACAGTGCGAAACAATTTGAACATACAATTCATCTGCAAGCAGCAGTGGGTAACCAGAACTGGCAATGAAATAAATATATATATATATATATGTAAAAGCTTCTCACAGAAACAAATTCAATGTGAGCTGCAGATTGCCTTTATTTTTAATGGAAAAAAACTGTTGTTTAAATAATGCTCCATGATATGCATTTAGCAGTTTTTAAGTGTTTGCTGTCGCCTTTACTTTTTAATGAACCATACAGCTGCCACTTTATCTTATACGCTCTCCATGCCATGAATTTGAATTGCCTCATTTCATTCAGCGCACCTATGAAGGCCCTGTGGATGTCGTTAGTGAAGCCATTCGCTTCTCATCTCCATGATTAAACAAGATGTTGACACTGTGCTGAGGAGCGTCTCTCATTGACCACACTGTGTACATGTTTAATAACACCACAATGACTGGGCAGATAGCGTCCGACTCCCAACTTGATTTTCTTTAGGCCTCGGCTGTCAAAACATGGCCTCTGATTCAATATTACCTTTGCACATGTACCAAATACTTTACTAAACTCTTGTTGAAAAACACCAAAAAAAGAACAAAAAAAAAACACATCAGTAACAATGCAGGAGATTTAGGGCTGTTGGCAAAATTGCAAGCAGTTTAATTCTTAGTTCTTTGTTATAATGGAACTGCTGCAAATGGATGCTTGTAATGCATTTTTTTTTTTCTTTCAGTTGAGAAATTCTGCAGCTGACGTGACCAGAAAGGAGCATTTGTTCATCGCTAGACCTGCCAGCGTGGAATTTGGCTCTTTAATCAAAGTCTAGGGTTTGGGCTCCGGTTTCTAAATGAGGCCGAGGGGAGGGGGGACCGACCCGAATGCCATCGCATTGCAGTTCCCTGCCACCGTAATGGGTCGACGCGGCATCAGAACAGAGTGTCACTGGCCAGCCGGCCCGGCGGTTCATCCCCTCCGAGATGATCTGAGGGCGGGGCCGATAATAGATGAAGCGACATAGAGTCGGGGGGGAGGGCATTAGTCTGCACAATAGGAGTCCACGCTGTTAATCTTTCCCACTGACTTTTATAAGTGCCTCTATTTAATTACTTGTGAGAGGTGATTCTGACACTTTCAGGGGTTTAATTATTTCAGTTAATACATGTGGAAAAAGACTGGTAGAAAGATCCCATGAAAAAATATAATTACACAAGCTTGTAGACATTCTCTCCTATCTATTTTGTGTTATGTATCTTTTTTTTTCGTTAGTAAGGTGTTATGGAAACAAACAAAAAAAGTAAATAATGTGGAGTTTGGTCACTTTTCGTTATGTCTATCCAAAATGATAAAATGGAATAATTACTTTTACAGCAACTATGACATTTGACTAGAATAGCTATAAGAACCCATCAACTGTAATCAGAAACTACAACATCTACTTCCAGGATACAGTCATTCCAGTAATTAAATAACGTGTGAACTTAAAAATAACAATATGGGCCCTTTCATAATACACTGAAACAATTAACAAATAAAAATGCATTTAAATGTCTTTAATTAATTAGATGACCCTGGATTTAATTGATGAGCTTCAGGAAGAGGTCTTTGTCGCGTCTATTTTCTTCCTCCACATAACCTCAAGGTATTTCTTTTAATAGCCCTCCCTTGTGTCGCCCCGTCCGCTTTGACAGGTGTACAGATCTGAGATGACTGCGAGTGCGGGAATAATTCCGTGGCACGCTAACTTCCAAGCGGATGCCCCGCCCTCTCCGTCGATCGCAGCAGGGTGTCGGATGAGAGGGAGCCCGGGTTCGGCGGATCATTCGTCAGGCGTGCCGATGAAGAGTCACCCGCCTTCGTTCCTAAATCCCTCTCTCAGGAGACGGAGCGTCTGACACTAAGGCTAATTCAAATGCGGTAGCTGATGGTGATAACACGGCAGATCCCAAATCACTCACTGTGGTTATTCAGCCTGCCGTTTATAATTCCCAGTGGATCTTAAAACATATGAATTTAAATACGACCCCACATCCCCCCCCCAAAAAAAACAAAAAAAATGATATACGTACATACGCACACACAAAAACATACTGCTGGATGCATTGCAGCTCAAACAAAGGTAATGAAATTCATGGTAAGCTATTACCCCTCAGTCTAGCTGTGTGACTTACCAGTATGAACCTAATAAATGAGGCCTTAGCAACAAGATATTGTTTTGAAAGACAGTCCTGGACTGTAAAAAATATACTGACACAATCTAAGCCTGAGAGGTTCTTTAATCTTGTCAGATGACATATCTAACAGTGTCTCCAGTAGTGGTCTGACAGAACGACAATCCAGAATGGCTCCCAAGCTGCAGGGAAGCTGCCCTAAATTACTATCAGACAAACAACACTCCTTGGCACTTACTGTACTCTGCCGGGAAACTTGCTGGAATAAGATAATAAGGACAAGGAGGAGAAGAGTGGGGAAATGGCGCTGTGGTAGCATTCATTATGCTCACGCACCGGGCTGCCAGTTCACAGCATATACAAATGAAATGTGACCTTCACCCCGAGCCACGCGCATATCATCATGTCTAGAACCTTGGGTACGGGGTGGGAACGCCTCGCCTCCGTGCCCGTTTATTTTCATTAGCCGATGCCGGGAAAGATGCGAGACGTTTTAGCCGATACAAGGAGATCAGGGAAGGATTTGTTGGCGTCCATGGCAAAGGTCTGCGAGGTGTGTGGAGACTTTGGCATCAATATTACTCTTTTTTTTCTTTATTATGACCTCATCACTACCATGATTAAATCCGACCTTGATACTGGACAAGCGAATAGCCAAGTGGAAGGTACACAGCCCCAAAGGTCGCTTCTCCTTCCATACTAAGGTCCTCTTTGGCTATCTCACCGGGGACACCCTTGACATTTCATCAAAGGTCTTCCACTACCTGCTTGCACTGCTTCAGATTGGTTATACTGGTAATTAGCAATTTCTAGAGGCTAATCTGAGTTTACATGCACAGCACTGCACCAGCTGCTTCTACTTGGGTGTGTTATGTAAGTCACCTTGCCTCGACAGCCCAGCTTACTGAAACACTGCCGTTCATCTATCATTACTGAAGCCTGTCGCTGTGATATTAGGCATCTTTTTGCAACACTAAACACTGTAATATCATGCTCTAGTTGTGTACAGCATCTCCCTGCATAAATAAGTAAAAATAACATGCTTATTTGTCGGTTAGTGTCGTTACCCTGCAGTTTCCCAGCATTCCATTCTTCCCTAATACTTCCACTTTATTTGTTTATATATTATTGCATTTTGTTTTTAGCTTTTCGTCCAGATGTTCCCTTTGATTATCTTGTTTGTTTTTTACTGGGCGCAGTGGTTATATCAGATGTGCTGTGGTGACAGTAAGAGTGGAACGGCTGCTGTCAGTGTTTTATCACGTTCTGCATCGTGCAAAGCCTGATTTACTCTAGATTCCATCTTTCGTAATGCATTATGTTCTTACAACCCCTCTGCATTTGTTTTGCTTTGAACTATATATGAATAATGGTATATTTCATCACTATCATGTGTATTAATTCAATTACTTCCCAAGACCAGCTAGGGGCCAAAAATGTGGGATTTTATTGACTAATGGGGGAGGAGAGTTAGGAATATCCTCATGCTTAAATGTAGCTTTTACTAAGAAAACAGGAGTCAGACACTGTTTTAGCATCTCCCCTGACTGTCAGCGGCTGCTCACTAAGGATCGACGCTCCTCACTGTCCGGCCCCATCTCTTACTACCTATTTTACTGAGCTTTTTGGTATTAATGTTTCCAAAATACAGCTTCAAAGACAACAAAGGACTCCATAGCCCAAAGCCTTACATAAATCATTTTATTCATTGTACTCAAGTGCATTTTCAGCAATCTCATTCAGTTATTAAAGGATTCTTCCGCTTTTCAAAAGAAACATTTATAATCCGTCATATGTTTTGATGGGACACTCTGTCACGATCGACACAATTTCTGTTCTTTATACTACAGAAGGTCATCCTTATTCTTTACATTATTCCTGACATTGTGCAGTAAAACTCCTTGAGGAAGAGAATTAAAAAGTGATCTGAAAAAAAAAAACTTCTCAGCCACTAGATGGTATTTGCATATAGTTATATGCTGTTGCCCAATGTCGCACATCAAATGGGCAATCAAATGTGACGAAAGAAAGACAGTGGACTCTGAGTAAGACGATAGGAAGGTCTTCACGTGTCCTTTTCTCTGATGGCTGACATCTTGCTTGACGTCACACGCTACTGCTGGATTTATCAACATTCTTTGTCCAGCATATTTTGATAATATTGGACTCCAGCATCATAAAATAAAGAATTTCCAGAATTCCCCCCCTGGGACCAATAAAATCCATATTAAACCTAAACTTGAGTTACACTCTGATTTTCTTACATGGATGAACACCTCACCCCCTTGTAACACTTGTGTAAATGTTTAATTCCTGCTCCTGAGTTTCATGTAGTCGCCAAGTACCCCAAAGTATTGATATAACTTCAACCCCAAACCTCTTATTCAGAATTCATTCATTTTCAGAATATCTGCGACACCCATAACACAGAACACATAAAGGTAGAGATATTCAACATGCAGTACAATAAACAATCATTTTTTAAAACTGCCCTTTTGTTGATGGCTCTATCGATCCCTAGACCTTTTCATCTGCTTCTTGATGCCCACTTTTTGTCGTCGTCCCCCCTGGAATTTATACTTCACAGACACACTCCATTCATTTGTGATCTCATCTATGTCAAATATGGTCTAATTCTATTTGGGCTGAATCAGATGCTACTTGCTGTGACTAGTAATTTTGCCACATAAAAACCACAAGCTCCTAAATGTTTTTTTTTTTAAATGCAAGCACAGTGATACGCTCTGTTTGTAATTTGACTTGTCATGCTGAGGTATATTTTTCCTGGCACAGTCTTTCTGAACCCATGCCAGAGCCTTGTGAGAATGGTTAATTAAGCCACACCGAAGGAGTGCTCCCTAACAAATATGTCAAGAGAAATGAGTCGCTGAAGTTTTTAATCTATACCATCATTATTGTTTAAGTGATTGTGTCTGAAGGATAATAGCTTTGTGAAATTCTGATAGACATTTCATGATTCCTGAAAAGCATTTCTCTAATTATCCTCTGATGCTGACGTTTGATCTTAATTTTCTTGAGCTTGACATATACATCAAATTAAATGCGTTTTCTCCAATATTGCTGCAGTCTTTGCACAATACCTCCATTTCCATTGTTATTATGTTCTTTTTCCGTTCACAGTTTTAGTCTAATTCTGTGTCAGACCTGTCTGTCCACAACTTCCCTCCTGTCACAGCAAAGACAGCAGCTGACACATGCTTTTCTAATTCTGCTCACTTCCCAGCAGACACAGTGCAGGAGAGCTCTGCACTGATTGCAGGAGCTCCGGATCTCCCAGTATTTTATTGTTAGTGGAGACATACCCTGGCCAATTTAAACCCTCCGCCCTATGGCTGAATGATATCAGGTTTTTTTTTCCCACCACTGTGTCTTCCTGGTATAAATAACATGGCCCAGATTGTAATCAGGCCTAGTCTTCTGCCAGACACAGTGATTCGACTGGCAGAATCACCGAGGAGACTCCTATTTTCTTCTCACTTGTAAACTCCGGTAAACCTTTATTCAGTCCTTGGCATCATAAGCTTTTGACAGTTGTTCAGAAGCGTGCTCACAGTAAAACATATCTTCGTAATGTGACAACGTTAAATGAATTTAAGTCGGGAAAGGCACTTGGAATAGAATTTCACAAGGAAAAACAAAGTGGCATAGGACAGATTTGTATTTTGCACACAAAAAGATGCACCCGGCAGCTGCATGTCTTCGCGGCGTTTGCCGTCTGAATGACACAGGCTAGGCTTCCTGGGTGGTGAAGCAGAAGACTCTTTTGGAACTCAGTGAATCTGCTCTCAAAACAGCAACCACAACACAGACAAGCTATGAGCTTCACACAGTGTTTTTTGATTTTATTTGTTTATTCCTCTGTGGCAGCACATGATCCTCTGGGTCAGCCTCAGCATGGCGTGTCCCCGGCGCTGACATATCTACACACGGGGAAGATGGACACCATATATATAGGAAGATCGGCTTTGGTAAGTTGAGTCCTCAACGGTTTTTTTCATTGTTCCCAATCTCACACTATTAACTAGTTATTAATTTGTTTGTTCAATCATACATTCATTCATTGTTTTTCCAGTTACATGGACTGTGATTTGTTTACTAACTTCTCTCAAATTATTCAAGCAGCCCTTGCCGAAATGTCTTTCGGCCATGTTTTGATTGGCACACTATAAGATAACATCACCGTTAAAGATTGCCGTGCTGATAAAATTAAAAGGTCTAACGTGTGGAGACACAGCCCTTTTCTGGCGTGACATCAGAATTAGTCACAGGAGATGGCTTTTCCTGCAACACTTTCCGGGGTCCTGGCTAAACAGAAGAAAAGTTAATTCCCTCCAGTGCTGTTGGTTCTCTGTACCTTTAATGACCTGTG